CTCAAAATGGATAAAGGACTTAAATGTATGACAGGAAACCATAAAAATTCTAGAAGAATCCAAAGGCAACAAAATCTCAGACATACGTCAAAGCAATTTCTTCACTGATACAACTCCTAGGGCACTTGAATCTAAAGAGAAAATGAACAAATGGGACTACATCAAAATAAAAACCTTCTGCACAGCAAAAGAAACCATCAACAAAACAACAAGAGAGCCCACTGCATGAGAGAACATATTTGCCAATATCATATATGATAAGGGCCTAATCTCCAAAGTTTATAGGGAACTCATACAACTTAACAAAAGGAAGATAAACAATCCAATCAAAAAATGGGCAAAGGACCTAAATAGACACTTTTCAAAAGAGGACATTCAGAAAGCCAAGAGACATATGAAAACATGCTCAAAGTCACTAATCATCCGAAAGATGCAAATCAAAACAACAATGAGGTACCATCTCACACCTGTCAGAATGACTATCATCAGCAAATGAACAAACGAAAAGTGCTGGAGAGGATGTGGAGAAAAAGGAACACTTGTGCACTGCTGGTGGGAATGCAGACTGGTGCAGCCACTATGGAAGACAGTATGGAGCTTCCTCAAAAAACTAAAAATGGAACTCCCATTTGGCCCTGTGATCCCACTTCTAGGACTGTATCCCAAGAAACCAGAAACACCAATCAGTAAGGATATATGCACCCATATGTTCATAGCAGCACAATTCACCATAGCGAAGATCTGGAAACAGCCTAAGTGCCCATCAGTAGATGAATGGATTAGAAAGCTGTGGTACATCTACACGATGGAATACTATGCTGCTGTAAAAAAGAAGGAACTCTTACCATTTGCAACGTCATGGATGGAACTGGAGAGCATTATGCTAAGTGAAATAAGCCAGTCAATGAAGGAAAAATACCACATGATCTCACTCATTCATGGATAATAAAGACCATTCTAAACTTATGAACAAAAATAGATACAGAGGCAGAGCTGCCTCAAACAGACTGTCAAACTGCAGCGGGAAGGCCGGGGAGGGTAGGGGGGCAGAAGGCGGGGGTAAGAGATCAACTGAAGGACTTATATGCATGCATATAAGCATAACCAATGGACGTAAGACACTGGGGGGTAGGGGAGGCCAGGGGATTGTCAAGGGTGGGGGAAAAAAGGAGACATATGTAATACCCTTGTAATACTTTAAGCAATAAAACTAACTAACTAACTAACTAAATAAATAAATAAATAAATAAATAAATAAATAAATGTGGGAAGACTACCAAAGCATATTAAGTAATTTGCCTGCGGTCATGCAGCTAGTAATTGTTCAGATGGGACTAGACAGCAGTTCTCAACCTGTGCGTCGTGACCCCTTTGGCGGTCTAATGACCCTTTCACAGGGGTCGCCTAAGACCATCCTGCATATCAGATATTTACATTATGATTCATAACAGTAGCAACATTACAGTTATGAAGTAGCAATGAAAATAATTTTATGGTTGGGTCACAACATGAGGAACTGTATTTAAAGGGCCAGAAATTTGAGAACCACTGGACTAGAAGCTCGATCTTCAAACCCAATATTCTCTGTACTGTGCAAGAGTGATTTCTGATAACCAAGACACTTGGGAAACCTGGCTTTTTTTTTTTTTTAACTAGGTAATACTCAATTTCCTTTCATTAGATTTCTTAGTATCTTTTATTTTAGTAAGAAAAAGACCCTACTGCCTTGTAGTATGCTGCAACATAGGTTATGTTTTATAGTTTGTTTTGTTAGGAATTATATATGACACAAAACTTCATGTTAGAGTTGAGTGTATTTCTTTCTTTTTTTTTTTGAGTCAGGGAACATTATTTGTTATTTTCATTTATGAGTATTGGTAACAATATATGAGAGAATAAAATTGATATTGGTTTTCATAATAGTAGCTAAAAGTATCAGGATGCCCTGAATGGATGGCTACCCTGTATGCCAAAAAAGTTTTGGGTTCAATTCCCTGTCAGGACACATACCTAGGTTACTGGTTTAATCCCCAGTCAGGGAGGATGCAGGAGGCAACCAATGCCTCTCTCTCTCTCTCTCTCTCTCTCTCTCTCTCTCTCTCTCTCTCTCTCTCTTCCTTCCTCTCTTTAAAAAAAATCAATAAACATATCCTTAGGTGAGTTCTGGGGTTCTTGTTCCAGCATCAAGAATGGTTCAGGAAATCTGGAGAAGGCTGTGCATAGATTACATAGGAGTCCAGAGATGACACTTAATTTTGAAAGACATTTGGGGGTCAGAGGAGACTAGTTTAAAGGAAACTAAGATCTAAATTCTCCTCATCTCAGGACCCCATCATTTTTATTAACACAAATTTTCCTGAGGCAAGACAGAGATATACACTTCAAAGGGTCAGGGTTTTGTATACAGAAGCATTGTCAGATTGGAAGAATCGCCTATGGCTGTTCAGGTGTTTGGCCAATAGGAGGCAATAATATGTAGATTAAGATGCCCTGAGCTGTCTGGCAGCCAACAATCATCCTTTTTCAGGTTTGGGGAAATGCCCTCAGCCATTCTCAGGTGACTACATGTGTGACTCAACCTTGTTGAGTCCCCAAGTTCCATCAACCTTTTGATGAAACTCTTGCAATTATGACATGTTGGAATTGGCTTCCGGCAGGTGAGGATTAAAACAAAAAATGTACTGGGATGAATTAAACTAGTGTCTGCCTTTGTATGTCTTCTAGTCTTTACAGAAGCTCAGCAAGTAAATTTAGAACATGTGAACAGTTTTAAAAATAAAATTTCTTCTTTTCAGTCCTAAAAATGAGTCATATCAAAACCCCATCTTATATTTATTTCAAATAAAGAAATGTTTTTTGTAAAAATACTAGAGGCCCCGTGCATGAAATTTGTTCATGGTGGAGGAGGATTGTCCCTCAGCCCAGCCTGCACCCTCTCCAGTTTGGGACCCCTTGGACATCCCTCTCACAATCCGGGACTGCTGGCTCCCAATAGCTCACCTGCCTGCCTGCCTGATTGCCACAACCACTTCTGCCTGCCAGCCTGATCGCCCCCTAACCACTCCCCTGCTGACCCTATTGATGCCTAACTGCTCCCCTGCTGGCCAATCGCCCCCAACTGCCCTCCCCTGACAGCCCGATCGCTCCCAACTGCACTCTCCCGCTGGCCTGATCACCCACAACTGCCCTCCCCTGCCGCGACCAGCCTCCTCTGTGCTGTGAAGAGCCGCGTGACCCCCTGGCCTCCACTGTGCACGTGGCCATCTGTGATGGCCATCTTGTGGCAGCCATCTTTGTGGTGGCCATCTTTGTGGTGCCCATCTTGTGGAAGACATCTTGTGATGACGTCATGTGCGAGGGCACGAGGACCACCTAGGCCAGTGGTCGGCAAACTCATTAGTCAACAGAGCCAAATATCAACAGTACAACAATTGAAATTTCTTTTGAGAGCCAGATTTTTTAAACTTAAACTATATAGGTAGGTACACTGTTATTAACTTAATTAGGGTACTCCTAAGGCTTAGGAAGAGCCACACTCAAGGGGCCAAAGAGCTGCATGTGGCTCGCGAGCCGCAGTTTGCTGACCACGGACATAGGCTTCTATTAGTATAGATAAGGAACCCAAGTACCCCACATAATGGGAATAAAAGAGACTTGGAAGAAGGTTGTTTTGCAAAAGTCATGTTTAATATTGTGCAGATGATAGAGAAATTTATGATAAGCTTTTGGGTTACACCAGTGGAGAGAGATAAAGGGTAACAATGTGGTGGAAGGAAAGAGTGGGTAAAGATTTGTGAGGAGTATTTCATTCTTCTATGAGAATATCAAAGAATTTCCAAAGAAATGCCATGAAGAAAAGTCAACAAATTCAAATTACTTTTTTCTTATTTGCCTGAAAGAGTAAATGTGCCCAAAGTATAATTTGCTTTTGCAGATGTGTACTCCATGGGATATTGTTTGTTTTTCTCAAGAGTTGCTACAGATGAATGGATAAAGAAGATGTGATGTAGAATACTATTCAGCCTTTAAAAAGAAGAAAATCTTGCCATTTGCAACAATATAGCTGGATCTTGAGGCCATTATGCTAAGTGAAAAGTCGGACAGAGAAAGACAAATACATTATGATCTCACTTATATGTGGAATCTAAACAAGCAAACAAAAAACCTAAAAATGGCCCTAACCGGTTTGGCTCAGTGGATAGAGCGTCAGCCTGTGGACTCAAGGGTTCCAGGTTTGATTCCTGTCAAGGACATGTATCTTGGTTGTGGGCACATCCCCAGTGGGGGGTGTGCAGGAGGCAGCTGATCGATGTTTCTCTCTCATCGATGTTTCTAACTCTCTATCCCTCTCCCTTCCTCTCTGTAAAAAAATCAATAAAATATATTTTTTTAAAAAACCTGAATATGTAGATACAGAGAACAGATTGGTGGTTCTAAGAGGGTAGGGAGTGTGGGATGGCAAAATGGGTGAAGAAAATAAAAAGATACTAAATTCCAGCTATAAATTAAAGTCATGAGATGTAATCTATACCATAGTTCAGCTGTGGGCAAACAATGCCCCGCGGGCTGGATCCAGCCCGTTTGAAATGAATAAAACTAAAAAAAAAAAAAAGACCGTACCCTTTTATGTAATGATGTTTACTTTGAATTTATATTAGTTCACACAAACACTACATCCATGCTTTTGTTCCAGCCCTCCGGTCCAGTTTAAGAACCCATTGTGGCCCTCGAGTCAAAAAGTTTGCCCACCCCTGCCATAGTTCTATAGTCAATGATACTGTATTGCATGTTTGAAAGTTGTTTTTTAGTAAATTTTAGAAGTTCTCGTCATAAGAAAAAATTTATAAGTATGTGTGGTGATGAATATTAACTAAACTTTTTGTGGTGATCATTTCACATTATATACAAAGATGGAATCATTATGTTACACACCTGAAACTAATTTAATTTATATGCCAATTATATCTCAATTAAAATAAAATAAAAAAGCTAGTACATACCAGTTACTCGAAGTCTGTCTGTACCAACCACAACTTTGCTTTCATCAACAGTAAACAGTGATTTGCCTTCTTTGGAACTGATCTGAAACTGTTGACTCTGGACTTCTACCATTTTGGGACCTGAAGGATTAATTGGAACAGTATTATAAAGAGTTTACTACATGCAGTGTCATGATTTCTATTTTTACACATTCCATCTCATCCAGCAATAGCAAATTACAAAATATTTAGAATTTTTTAACCAATAGTTTTTATTTTACTTTATGAGTTTTTAAGTTCTAAGCCTAAAGGTATTATATTGTTAAAATTAATTCCTGCCAAATCTGTGCTAATATTTATCAAATATATGTATTCATAAATTATTTAAAAGTTAATTTTTACGTTTTTTGAAACCTGCCAAAAACAATTTAATTCTGCCACTCATATTATCTAAAATCTGCATTCTTTTGAGCATTAACTAAATAAGAATTTTATATTATGAAATGTGAGATTTATGAAAGACAATTTTATAAATGGCTCACTTTAATGGCGAAAATGACTCACACTCAGATTATCTTCTCTGCCCTTATCCTCAGAAGAGGTCGTCACCTCTTATTCCATGGAAAAACAGACATCACCATGGAAGAACTCCCTCAAATTTCTGCCCTTACCAAATGCATATTTGTCTTCTTCACTCCTTCTTTCTTTTTATTTCAGTGACAAAGGCATCACTTTCTCCTCCAAGTTTAATTCCTTCACATGTGCTTTAGACCCATTGCCTTTCAGACCATTACTGTATTCAGCAAACATGTAACCAGTGCTATTATGGGCCAGGCACCTCATGGAGTGAATAAGATCCTATACTCATGGAGTGAATAAGATCCTATACTCATCATTTTATTTCATAATTTCACTTCGTACTTTCAATTTTTCTAACCCTGGCAGCATAATGGGTTAATCTTTCTAAAACACAGCTCTCACCATTTGCTTACAGAATTACAAGTGTTCCCTAGTTCTTTTGCATGTTAGCTTTATATTATTATCTAGAAAAGTAAATTTATTGAAAAAATAAATAGCTTATAGTTTTTGTGAATGTGTCCCTGTGTTCCTCATTAAAGTTGATGGATACCTGCTAGAAATTAAATAGAAGCTTTTCAATTAATATGTGAATCTATTTTGGACATGGTCACCAATGTATACTTATATTATTTTATTAATTTACTAGAGGCCCGGTGCACAAAAATTTGTGCACTTGGGGGGGAGGGGGGGTCCCTCAGCCTGTCCTGTGCCCTCTCGCAGTCTGGGACCCATCGGGAGATAACGCCCTGCTGGCTTAGGCCTGCTCCCGGGTGGCAGAGGGCAGGCCCAATCCCTAGGTGCAGCCCCTGGTCGGGCTCAGAGCAGGGCCGACTGGGGAGTTGGGTCGCCGCCCCCTGTCATGCACAGAGCAGGGCAGATTGGGAGGTTGCGATGCCACCCCCTGTCACGCACAGAGCAGGGCCCATCAGGGGGTTGAGGAGCTCCCCCCTCACTCAGAGAGTAGGGCCGATAGGGGAGTTGGGGCATTGCTCCCTGTCACACACAGAGCAGGGCCCGTGGGGGGTGGAGGGGTTGGGGTGCCCCACCCTGTCACACACAGAGCAGGGCAGATCAGGGGCTTGGGGCACCGCACCCTGTCACACACAGAGCCGCAGGGTGATCAGAGGTTGGGGAGCTCCCCCATATCAGGCACAGAGCAGGGCTGACCAGGAGGTTGGGGCGCCTTCCCCTGTCACGAACAGAGCAGGATGGATAGGGAGGTTGTGGCCCCACCCCCTGTCACACACAGAGCTGCAGGGTGATCAGGGGGTTTGGGCGCTGCCCCCTGTCACGCTGATCCCGGTGCCGGGAGGCCTCTTGGCTCCACTGATCCCGGTGCTGGGAGGCATATTACCCTTTTACTAAATAGGATAGAGTCCTGGTGCATGGGTGGGGCTGGCTGGTTTGCCCTGAAGAGTGTCCTGGATCAGGGTGGGGGTCCCCACTGGGGTGCCTGGCCAGCCTGGGTGAGGGGATGATGGCTGTTTGCAGCTGGTCACACACCCTTCAGGGTGGGGGTCCCCACTGGGTTGCCTGGCCAGTCTGGGTGAGGGGCTGAGGGCTGTTTTCAGGCTGGCGGGTGACGGAAGCTCCCAACTGCTCCTTTTTTCTTTTTCTTTTTTTTAATTCTGGGCCAGCTTTAGCTCTGAGGCTCCAGCTCTTAGGCCTCCGCTGCTGAAAGTAGGTAATCGAAACAATGTATAACTCCAGCTCTGACCCCAGCTCCCTGAAAGCTGGTTTCTGGGGGGTTTTTTTAGCTTCTATATTTGTTAAAATGTTTCAAACTGCAGGCTCAGAGGCCGGCAAGGCAGGCGGGGAACGTTGGAATCCTCCGTCACTGAAGCAAGCAAGCCTTATGTTAGTTTCAAGCTGCCTGGCTGCCGGCCGCCCTCTTGGCTGACAGTTAATTTGCATATCTCCCTGATTAGCCAATGGGAAGGGTAGCGGTAGTACGCCAATTACCATGTTTCTCTTTTATTAGATTAGATACCTCAAAACCCTTCACTGATGCTTCATTTAAGAGTGTGTGTTTGGATAGAGAAAACAAGATGGCGGCTAGGTAAACACCTGAAATTGCTGCCTCGCACAACCACTTCAAAAATACAACTAAAAGACAAAACGGACATCATCCAGAACCACAGGAAGGCTGGCTGAGTGGAAATTCTACAACTAGAAGGAAAGAGAAAAGCACACTGAGACTCAGAGGAGGTGAGGAAGTAAAGTGCAGAGGTACAGAGGCGCGCGGAAAGGGCTGGCAACTGAGGATTCGGTTGTCTTTTTCAGTCGGGAGGGAGACACATGCTCCCGCTCTCAACTCCAGTTCCAGGCTAGTCTCTGGGGACCCAGATTCATATGGGGAGAAACTGGACTGTCTGGAAGTGGGTGGAACTCGTGGGCGGCTTTCTCTCAGAGGTGCTTGCAGTGACTACCGTGGGACACTGAGACGCGGGGCCTCTTAGGGAAGGACTGAGGATCAGCCATAGCTGTTTGCTCTGCCCTGTTGATTCCCTGAGGCCCCGCCCGACCCAAGCTGTGCCCAGAGGCTTTTGCATATGAATGACCTGGCCCTTTGCAATCTAAAATTACCTAACAAAATGCAGCTGGGTCAGAGAGACCCAGAACTTCCAAAAGAAGGCCCAAGGCCCCACAGCAGCTTGCACTGCTTCACATCTGGGCCTCATCTGAGCACCTCCAAACCCAAAACAAAGAAAAGGAATCTGCAGATCTCTTCATAGCTCCTGTTGAGTAACCTCAGACAGAGGCTAAATTAGCACCTCCTTAGAGATCCAAGTGCCAGTGTACCCAGTGGTCAGAGTGGAACCATCCAGATTACAACTCCTCAGATCCATAAGGGACACAATAAGGGGGAAGACTCAGTGAGCACCAAAGCCCCACTGAAGCAAGTCTTGCCCCATAAGGGTGTCTCCAGCACAGAACTTCTCCCACCATAGACACAGCTGATTCTCACAGCCAATTGGCCTGGAGGTCAATTCCTCCCAGTGATACCAACTACAGTCAAGACTTAACTACAACAAGACTGGGCATACAGCCCACAAAGGGGTGCATCAAGAGTTTCCACCTCAGGTAATTGGGGAGCCTGAGCTACTGGGCCCTATAGGATACCTACCACAGAAAGCCACTCTATCAACAGAGGGAAGCATAAAAAATGCGGAGACAAAGAAACAGGTCACAAATGACAGAAATGGAGGAAAGCAAAGTACTGGATATAGAGTTCAAAACCGCGGTTATAAGGTTTTTCAAGAATTTTCTAGAAACTGCCCATAAATTGAGTGAGACCCTCAAGAAATCTAGTGAGACCCCCGAGGATGTGAAAAAGGACCAAATAAAAATTAAGCATACACTGACTGAAATAAAGAATATTATACAGAGATCCAACAGCAGACTAGAGGATCCCAAGAATCAAGTCAAAGATTTGAAATATGAAGAATCAAAAAACAACCAACCGGAAAAAAAAAAAAAAAGAAAAAAGAATCCAAAAATATGAAGATAGTGTAAGGAGCCTCTGGGACAACTTCAAGTGTACCAACATCAGAATTATGGGGGTGGCAGAAGAAGAGAGAGAGCAAGATACTGAAACCTATTTGAAGAAATAATGACAGAAATCTTCCCCTACCTGGTGAAAGAAATAGACTTACAAGTCCAAGAAGTGCAGAGAACCCCAAAGTAAAGGAATCTGAAGAGGACCACACCAAGACACATCATAATTAAAATGCCAAGAGCAAAAGACAAAGAGAGAATCTTAAAAGCAGCAAGAGAAAAAAAGTCAGTTACCTACAAGGGAGTACCCATACGACTGTCAGCTGATTTCTCAACAGAAACTATGCAGGCCAGAAGGGAGTGGCAAGAAATATTCAAAGTGATGAATACCAAGAACCTACAACCAAGATTGCTTTACCCAGCAAAGCTATCATTCAGAATTGAAGGTCAGATAAAGAGCTTCACAGATAAGGAAAAGCTAAAGGAGTTCATCACCACCAAACTAGTATTCTATGAAATGCTGAAAGGTATTCTTTAAGAAGAGGAAGAACAAAAAAGGTAAAGATACAAATTATGAACAACAAATACAAATCTATCAACAAGTGAATCTAAAAATCAAGTGAATACATAATCTGATGAACAGAATAAACTGGTGAATATAATAGAATCAGGGGCATAGAAAGGGAATGGACTGACAATTCTCGGGGGGGGAAAGAGGTGTGGGGGGTGCAGGAAGAGACTGGACAAAAATCGTGCACCTATGGATGAGGACAGTTGGGGGGGGGGTAAGGGCAGAGGGTGGGGTGGCTATGGGGGTAAAAAAGAACAACTGTAATAACCTGAAAAATAAAGATTTAATTTTTTAAAAAAAATGATAAACATTTTTTTTTAAAAAAAGTGTCTGTGTGTGTGTGTGTGTGTGTGTGTGTGTATCCCTTATAAAGTGGATTCATTTTTTCCTCTTTTATCTTCTTTCTCTTAAGGAAACCTGCCTTAATTTTTTTGATAGTTGCTTGTATTTTCTCTCTTTTGAGCCTTCACTCAGACTCAGTCACCCAGTGATT